TGTGATGTGGATGTGGGTACAGGTGTGATGTGGCTGGGTACAGGTGTGATGTGGATGTGGGTACAGGTGTGATGTGGGTGGGTACAGGTGTGATGTGGATGTGGGTGCAGGTGTGATGTGGATGTGGGTGCAGGTGTGATATGGGTGGGTACAGGTGTGATGTGGATGTGGGTGCAGGTGTGCAGTGGAGTGGGGTGCAGGTGTGCAAGGCACAGGGGATGTGTGTGCAAGGCACGGGACTGCAGGTGTGATGTGGGTGGTGACACTGCAGCGCTGTCAGAACCCTGGCAGAGGAGGGAACTCAGTGGTACTTTGTGGCTGATCAGCTGCACAGCCGCTGAAAACCAAGGCAGAGACAGGAACATGTCCTGCCCTTGAATCAGCAACCCTGGCAAAATCCCTGTCCTGGCACTGCCCGTGTCCCATCCCAGGGTTATCTCAGGTACTATCCTGAGGTACTGTCATGGTTGATAAAGGTGAGGATAAATAATTTGCTGATAAAATTGAGTTTCTAATAATAAAGTTTGCAATGATGTGGTTAACGCTTTACTTAGGTTGCAAAATGTTAAGTTGCAAAATGTCAAACCACAATGTTGTGTTGCCATGGTAGGATGTAGCCTGTTATGCTAGCTATAATGCTTTAAGTGCACTTATAAGGAAGAAAAAGCGTGAAGCAAAAAGGGGGGGGGTCGACTAAAGGGTCCAGAAAGAGGATCTCCTGCCTTCATCCGGGGATTGGGCACGGCGGGAATTGAGGGCTGCTGACTAAGCGGACTGTTGGCTGGCCCCTGGCAACAGACTGAGGTCCACACAGCGAGAACCAGTGATGAAGCAGAAAGAGACTAAGGGGGTGGGGATTGCAACAAGTATAAAAGAAGCGGGCTTTGGCTTTTTGAACTTGCAGACCGTTGCGGAGCAAGAGTCTCCCCGGCCTCCCAGCACTGTTTTGCTCATTTGACTTCAATAAATTTTGGGATTTCAAATTTTAAAATTATTTGTGG